TTAAAGACAATTTTGAAGTGACTTACAGTTTGTTGTTGATTGCAGTCTGTCCCTGTGGCTGAAAATCACTCACGATAATGCCCAGCTGGCGAAAGTTCTCCACCAGACCCTCCAGGCTGGTCTCTAAACTGTCCAACGGTGAGGTCATTTTTAATGTTGAGTTTTTACTTGACGCCGATCTTCAAAGAGAAAACTGAAAACAAAAAAATCAAATCTTTGTTTTGAGTCTCAAAAAGTTTGAGCTGATTTTCTCCAGCGAATGGGCGGAGCCAAGGCAGTTGTGAAATTGCGCCATCAAGCGGCAGAGAGGTGAAAACTCAGCTTGTGCCATGCTTGATGCACGCTGACAACAAATTCTGTTTCACTTGAACAGCTGTGCTTCAGGATTCTACATTCGCATTCTACAACTCAAAAGCAAAATGGCATCTTCAGATTCAGAAAACTCTGACGTCGAGATTAGTAATGAAGAGGAGCAGCAGAGTGAAGAGCAGAGTGAAGGCTCGGAAGCTGAAGATGCACCAACCAAAGAAGTAGAAGAAGGGGAAGAGTCTGTTGCAGAAGAAACTCGTGAAAAAGAACCCAACTCGGCGAGACTGGCGAGAACCATCTTCATCGGCAACTTGAAGGCTAACTTTGAGTTAAAGGTAAACGCCATTTATGTCTGTTTACTAGTGTATTGACTGGAGTTTATTTAATCAGGAGCTGAAAAAGATATTGAAGCAATACGGAAGTGTTGATTCAATTCGCATACGATCAGTTGCACCAGCAAAGAATACTCTGTCAAAGAAAGTGGCACTTCTTTCGTAAGTCAAAATGAAAATACAATTTGATAGATAAATTAACATATTTTTTCCTAGAAAACAAATTCATCCTGGTAAAAATAATGTCAACGCATATGCCGTCTTCAAATCATTTGACTCGGTGGAGAAAGCTCTTGCCCTGTAAGTAAAAATGTTTGCATTTAATTTCTTTTGACTAATGAAATTTTTTTAGAAACGGCACTCAATTTGATGGAAACACAATTCAAGTGGATCGCATCACTGAAAAACCTTTTCATCAGAACAAAAACTCCATCTTTTTAGGCAATCTTTCATTCAAGACAACTGAGGAGGAAGTAAGTACAGCTACCTGAATGTTTTGATATTTTATTAACGGTTTTTGTTTTCAGTTGCGAAAGTTTTTCAGCGAATGCGGCCCTATTGACAGTGTTCGTCTGATTCGAGATCGAGTATCTGGCATGGGCAAAGGTTTTGGATATGTAAACTTTGAAGCCAAAGACGCAGTTGTACTTGCACTGGAAAAGAACGGACAGACATTCAATGATCGTGAAATTCGAGTACAGCCATATCAGTACAAACAAGAAAAATCCGGCAAAAAGAAAGGCAAGAAAATGGGCAAAAATAAGAAAGGCGATGTAATGAGATCGCCTCGCAAACAAGGCAGACCCTCGACTGTCAGTGGTGGTGATAAGCCCGTTCGAGGTGGCATGAAAAGGAAAGGCCCACCAGTGAACGTCAGTCAGCAGGAGTTCAAAGGCGAAGTGGCGCAGAAGAAATTCAAGGGTGGCAAAAAATCGGTCAAAAGTGTGATCAAGTCGAAGGTGGCCAATAAGCACAAGAAGAAGATTGCCGAAATTCTCAGCAAATAAGTTTCGTTTTATCTATCATGATACTAGTAAATTTGTGTGACTACATTCGACATGGTTTTATTTCGTGTTAATAAAATAAAAAAGAGTAAATAAAATGAACATTCTTACATGATGTGGCCTACAATTCATCATATTGCCACAGTAGGGGGAGGGTTAGTAGTGTACAAAGGGGGTGAGTAGGGTGTGCCTGTGAGTTGGTGCTCTACTACTTTCTAGCTTATCACAAAAAAAAGTTATAAATAGTCAAACACAAAAAAGAGCGCCGACTAAAGGTGTGTTTGTGTTTGTTTTGTTTGAACTGGAACACACTGACACTTCAATGTAGAACACTTCTTCAGTATTGGACTGGGAGAGTGCTTCGGCTGCGCATGGTGAGAACTTCTTGGAGATTGTGCGGCAGGTCGTACCACTTTGGGCGAAGGGTCGCCTCGTGGCGGCTGACGGCGCCCAGACACAGGCGGTACAGTGACTTGGGCTGCAGCTCAATGGAGAAGGTCTCTCGGGCGTAGATCTGTGTTGGCAGAGATGGTAAATATGAAAAACAATGTCTTGGCTTTTCGAATCCCCGCCCACTTACCCTCGAGTCCGGATTATTGCTGAGCAGTGCAAGGTTCTCGGTGGCACCGCCGCAGATGAGAACTGGAGTGGGGTTTGGAGGACAAAGGTGTTAACTTTTTTTCTATTTCCCAAAACACTCGTCATCATCACCGCTTACCTTCCCCGAAGGCCGAGCAGACGGCGCTGTGCCAGAGGCGGGGCCTGTTGATGGGCAGCTGAACCTCCGTCCAGGTGAAGGTATCGCCGTGGAAGAGCCAGCAATCGTGCAGCGGCCGACTGTCAGTGCTCAGGCCGCCGTACAGCAGGAGGACACTGTCGGAGAGGGCGGTGAGGCTGTGCCAGGAGCGGCCACTGACCGCATGGTGCTCATTGTTCTCCATGATCTGCGTCCAGACCATGGTCCGCATGTCGAGGACGTACATGTCGTTCATGCGCTTGCCGCCATTGCGACCCCCAAAGACGAAGACTCGACTGCCGAGACAGGCAGCGGCATGGGCGGCGCGGGGAATGGGCACATCGCCAGTCGTCTCCGGCCACTGCCACTGGTTGCTCGCCGGATCGTAGCACACCAGCTGGTTGTTCCACCCGCGGGGATAGTGCTGTTTGCAAAGAAATTCGTTAGCGCTGGTGGTCGATGACATCATCATCATCATGCTCCGAACTATTGGGCACCACCTACCCAGGGAGAGCTGTGGTCGAGGATGAACTCGTAGCCCGGGTCGGCACGCCACTGCGCCGGATCGCAGCCGCGTCCGTATCCGGCAAAGAGGTACAGCCGGTCGTCGTACTGCCAGCAGACGCTCTTGTCGCAGGCCAGCGGCGGCTGTCCTCCGCACGGCTGCACGCTGCTCCAGGTGAAGTCGCGCAGGTTGAGCTTGTGCAGCGAGTTCTGGTTGCCCTCCTCGCTGTAGCCGCCAAAGAGGTACAGCTGGCCGAGGACGACGGCGCCGCTCGCGCCGGAGCGCTCCAGTGGAATATCACCGCTGCACGGCTGCTTCTGCCTGCAAAGGAGGAAAGGGGGACTGTGTTAGAAAAGAGTGTCGAAGGCACCATCATTAACACCACTTACCACAACTCCAGAGTCTGGTTGTACGTCCACACTTCACTGGTGGGCCTGAAGTCAGTTGAGTGTGTTTCCTGGGAAAGAGGGAGAGAGTGAGAGAGATGGTAAGTAATGTGTGATTTAGTGTATGCGCAAAGTGGCAGTAGTGGTGGTGGGTGGAAAAATACCATCAGTGTCTGTGTATCTATTCCCCCCTTCGATGTTGGCAGTAGTCACTACAGGAAAATTACTATTGCGGAAGCTTTGAACTCATCATTATAATCGTCTGTTTTGGTGGGCGCAAAAAAGAGAAGAGAGAAAGAGGCAGCGGTGAGGGAGGCAATGAACTCTGGTGAACAGCTAGTGCGCCGTCTGTTCTGCTCGAATATTCACCCTCAGTGTCTGTCTCTCACTTTATTGCCCAACTCCCACACTGAATGGCCGTGTACGTTATGAATCAACGTCATCACCGCCATCATCATCATTTTTGTTAGCAAGAAAACGTGTGGTGCAAATTGTTTCTTCTGTACATCTTTTGCCGAAAGTTGCATAAGCGTTGTTTCAATGTACGACGGTTGCACGACCGGTCTTCGTTAAGCATGCACACACACACACAGACTACCTCAGCGCCCCAACTACCTGCAGATATGCAATCGATGTGTGTGTGTCTTTCAGCGAAAGTGAATGCCAGACTGAGCCAGTCAGAGCTAGACAGAATGTCTGCAGGCATATTTCTAAAGCTGCTGGCAATTTTTAAAGCCCATCACTGCTTGAATCTGCTCATTTGGTTCCTCATTTAGGGTAAGGTGTGTGAGTGATTTGTCTGCAGGCGAATCGAGAGAGACAGGTTTGCTTTGATCAGATGCTGGGCGCCTGATACTAACTGACTGACTTATCATGGCACAGTGCACACATATCCTGTTTCGAGACAGGGAGCACGTGTGGTCGACGAGTAGTAGTGAGTAGTGAGTTGTCGTCCACCGCTGGAGTGTCTCATGACGCCGAGTAAAAGGAGAGTGAATGCATTGAAGTCAACAAGGAGCACGCTGGTGAGCCTTCTTATCGAAGTAGCCTACATTGCCGCGACATCGATAGAGTGGAAAGGCGCTCTACTGCTGATGATGCTAAAGACTCACCACTGACTGGCTGTCAGCACAGGCAAGCAACAGCAGCAGCAACACTGGTCGTCGACGAAGCTGATGTTGCCAGCAAAGGTACCTTATCTTATCGACTGATAGTTTGCTTGTTTATATGTGTGCGAGTGTGTCTGTGACATAAGAGTGTGTTGCTAATCGACGCCTGAAAGTAGGTTTACGGGGCGGTGTTGGTGATGGTGATGGTGGTGGTAGTGTCGGTGAGTGGGGAGAAGACAATACGGAAGGATTATTATTATTACTAGTACGCTACCTTGTATCCACGGAACCCTGATACGAGTATCATCTGACCGTTGTGACTGCAGGCAACATGGCCGATGTTGATGCCCGGACCTTCCACACGACTGCTCTGGTCGCCGACCATCTTCACCAGGTCGAGCATTGAGCTGAACAGTCGGTAGTGCTCCGGATTGACATTCGGATGGGTGGGCATTTTGAGGTGCTGGTCTTTGAGCAAGGGTGACGGTAGTGATCGTGGTGATGGTGGCTGAGAAACCGAAGCGGATGAGAGTAATGAAGAGAGTAAAACTGCCAGTGGATCCGTGCAGTGGTCTTCACTGTCTTTGAGTTGTGCTTTGTTTTGCTGTGAGTGTTGTTGTTTTTTGAGCTGTGCTGCGTCGTTCTTGGCGCAGTCTCTCTTTTGAGCAACACTTCTACTGCTGCGGCAATTCACTTACACAACAGAACTCACACAGCGTCACAGAATCGCTGACAGAATCGTCGAGATCGCGCAGTTCAAGCGTCTATTTTTGGTGGTGTCGGCCAAAAAGAGGGTGGGAAGAAGAGTGCAATGCCGTTGTAATGCAGTCCCGCGAATATATAAATGCCGTGCTCTGTCGTAACGGTAAATGGCTGGTGCTTCTGGCGCCGGAGGTGGTGATGGCACTGCTTGTGCAATAGAAGCGTCAGGAGGGGAGAAAATTCGTCAGAATTTCCTTGTCGCTTGAATTACAGAATTTGATGCGACTTTAATTTAACGGCTGTGTGCTGATGAGAAGAAGAAAAAGTAGGAAGAACGGGTGAAGCGCAAATGTGTGCCTGCCAACTATCACGAGCGCCAAGACGGACTGCTAGTAGATTAACTAAAGTGATGAGGTCTCGCGCCAATTGAAATGGTCAGCGGTGGTGGTGGTGGTGATGAGGGAGATAGAGATAGGCCGATCGGTGGTGACTGTCTGTCTGCTGATGGCACTGTCGATGCTGACAACAGGGCTTTAAGGCGGCAGAGTAAGAGAAGCTCTGGAGATGCTCCCACTGGAAAGGCAAGATCTCACTTTGCTGTGTATGTAAACAAACACTGATGGTGTATCCCTCAATAAAAGAGAAAGAAGGAGAGAGCCAGCCAGTCGTACAACTTCTTCAGGAGTGTGAGAGAGAGAGTACAAGCACTCAATAAAAGCGGAGAGAGACATCGACGGCGAAAGTAGCCACCAGCACCACCACCACCGACATGATCACTGCACCGTTGTATCACACTGCAGTCGTGGTCGGTGGTCGCCCTCGTCCTTTGCCGCTGCTTCCTTCACACACACATTCTCCAGACGATTTAAGCTTCACACTACAGTGCAGGCACTTCACTTGGAATGACGCCCGAGGATAAATAATACTGATGATGATGAAGATTGTGCGACCAGCAGCATCACCACCATCACCAACAACAACACCAACACCGCTCAATCGCGCGCACACATTGCACAGATAATTGTGTCTGTCCCCAATCCAATGCCGTCTACCAGATTAGGCAGGGAGATAGACTGATTTGCCGATGCGGCCAGAGAAAGAGACTGAGAGTGAGGCGAGCATTTGTAAATCGCATTTGAAGGAAAGGAAATGGCTTCTCCTCTGCTTTTTGAGCATTGATTAACTTTTTTTTGTTTAGTTCAATTTCAGCCAACAAACGTCTGCTGATTTTAAATCCGAGTGCCGCTAATCGGTGCTCACTGTGCGGCTCAAAGTTCCTTCTCACGTGTCCGAGGCATATTGCTGCTGGTAGAACAGGCAGTAGATCAGGCACTCTCACACCGGCAAACACTCGCATCGCTAATTTCTGTTTGTGTGTGTGGGTCCGCTATGGAAGCGTGGCAAATGGACACAATACAATGAGACTCACATAGACTCCTGCCTAAATCTACTGCTGCCTCAAATCGATCGATTAATTGCACTCTCTTGGTCATCGATACACACTCAGTCCTCACCAGTTTGTTCTTGTTGTTTTTAGTGAAATTGAATAAGCAGAAAGAGAGTGC